AATGTCGTTGCCACTACTTTTGGATACCCCTAAGTATTTAGTCTTCTTCACTTCAAAACAATTCTATCTTTAATATTATATAAGAACATGAAAGAGTTTAAATCTACAGTAAAATATTTTGTCACAACAACTGTTCGAAAATCATCGATGTATCGTAGTACTTCTGTTTGGAGTGAGTTTTTACTTCTCACCGCATGAATATTTTATTAATCTTAGAAACATTCCCGAAACCAACAAAACGACAGAGATATCAATAGCAATGAGTAAAAACGAAGTGTAAGCCGCTCGAATCAGTATTTTTGTTTTTAAGAACCTCAGTTTAGTGGTGAAGTTAAGAAAAAATAGTTGAAATAAGGTTCTCTTCAGAGACATTTAACAATGTTTATAGTGAACAGATTGTACCATGAAGAGTATGTGTGTTCTGTTAGAGAAGTTACCGAAAAGTTGACTAATTACTTTTTTAATTTGAAGACTATTTGAATATAGATAAATTATCAAATCCATAAAAATTTGAAAATCTCGTGAACAAGTAACCAAAAGAGTGTTATTACAATAGTTTGTACTGCTGGACTACAAAATATATTATTGATATCGAGAAATAATTATGTTTAATAAGCAAAGTATTTTTCATTATGTCTCTTATTAAATGATAGAAATATACTGAATTAGAATATTTTTTTCAATATGAAATATAATCGGATATACTTTATGAATATGAATTATGGTTAAGGATGATAGCAATCGGCGGGTGAAAAAAAAGATTCAGAAGTGGACTGTAAATGAAAGAAAGATCATCATTATAAGATGAGAAATTCTAGTCTCAAAATTTAAAGCTGAGATGTTGGTGATCACTAGAAATTTTCCGTTTGGAAACTTTGAAATTCATATTTCTCCATCATGAAAACTATTAAAATCGATAGAAATGAGCAATACAGACTAACTCAAGTCCTCTAAAAATTGATAAAAAAACCACTAAAGATTGGTACGAATTGACCACTGATAAAAATTCAACTGGATCACACTGTTAACTGTTAACTGAGTCGGCTTGGTATTGGCTCTAAGTCTGAATCGTATAGAATAATTTGTGATTTACTTTAGAGCAAATTGAAGTTCCTTCAAGAAAGGGAATTATCATGATACCCATACAAATGTTTTTTTGACTCGAATCCATCTGAATATCGTTCTATGTATATTCAAAATGTGTCTTGAAAGTCAACCGCATTCAGATGCATTTATGCCATAAGACATGTCAGATTGGATATTCACAATTTAGAGAATAAATTACACTCGAATTCAAATTCGAACTAAGGTCTGATGAAAGTCATGTTATGATGACTGTAACCTATCGTGGCAAACGGAATGAATAAAAACTTGAACGATCAAAGTCATACTTGAACATGATACAACACTAATCAGAAGTTCTATATGTGTACCACTGAGTTAAACAACCTCGAAATGTTCTATTATTTCAACAAGAACTTTTTTAAAATCAAACTTAGTAGTTTTACAAGACTCAATACAATACGATTCACTTCTTTACCGATAAAATGTTACACATTTAGTGTAGTTTTCTAGTTTTTTTTCGATGAAGACAGCAGTCTTTAGTGTTAAAAAAAAATATCTTGATCTGTTTTGTGGATCTCGACCAAGATCAGAAAATAAATTTTACTTTTTATTGATACACAAACCGAATCATCTCTGGGTTCGAATTCCAATAGAAAGTTGCCATAGATTGAATCCGACAACTGAAAAACGTAGGCGATACTCAAGATTCGATGAGATCATATCGAATTTACATACAAATACCAGACATTATTTGAACAGTTACTTGGATCATCTTTCTTCACTCACTTTTCACATTCAATTGGCTCAACACTTACAAATTAAATTGCAGTTTATTGTTACTTAATATGCAAGGCAAAAGTCTCTGTTTTTAATTCCGACTTCTAAATCAAGAAAAGTCTTTTCATTGTAAAATGTTATGTCTCTAAAAAAAGTTCTTGCAACGTTTTTTCAATTTTAAAAATTTGTATTTCTCAATTATTCTAAGCTACATGAATGAATCAAATTTGAACAAAAATACATAAAAAGTTATATCAATATCAGCTTTAGTGAAATTGTTTAGACCTGTTCTTCATTCTTTAATCAAAACAAATTCGGTCAATAAACTTTTTTGTAAAATGTAGTATGTTCTAAGAAATATCAGTTTACAAGCACATCAGTCATCGTCTAGAGAAACTATACATGAGCTGAATTCTTTTTTATCTATATTTATTCGAAATATTTCAGGTCATAGAAATGCACCAGAAAAAATAAGCCAAAAAACATTCTTACAGTTGAGAAACGACCAGGTAGTAAGAACAATCAACTTACTCAGTTGTTTTGTAGAAAAAAGCAATATTTCGATGTAAATATTGACAGTAAATTTAACTTCCGTTACGTCAGCGACAAGAGCACTCTTTACGCTACAAAAATCAGCTAAAAAAGTGTTTTTTTCATTTCCTTGCTGATTTACAAAATATTAACAAAAATGCTGTTGCTCGAGCGTGAAGTTGAAAAAAGTTCGTTTTTGGAGATATTTGACTTTGAACTTTTTCTTATCGTCAAATTCGTTCTGGAAAAATATATACAGTAAAAAAATTGCCGTTCAGACATTGTTCTTTTTAATAAAATAAATTTTCTTGATATAGAAGTCGAGAATCTGATATAGCTGAGTTTGACATTTTTATAAAGCCTTTTGCATGGCATATTAATTGTCAAATAATAAACTTATATTGAAAAAAAAATATTGAATTGTATTTTTTCTTTAAACTTATAATTGCATAGATTTCTTAAATGACACGATTTTAAGAATTAAAAAATAATAAAAATTTTATTTCAACTTATCCACACCTACACTTATTCCATTATAGATTTACACATAGACTTACGGTACACAATTTTATTTATCTTACCATGATGTTTAAACTTTGATTAATAAATCAAAATCAAAATATAATATATAAAGTAAATTGATTTTCTGATTATTTTGAGATTAAAATGTTGTAGATAACGATAGAAACTGTTTAAAAAAAAACTACAAAAGTTTTGTATGATTTGAATTAACTTCGATATTCGATTGTTGAATAACAAGCGTATTAAAAAACATTTGAGAAATGATTCTATGTTAACTCACTGACCATTAACTTAAAATCTTAGATGTTGAACAATATATCTAAACAAACAAAACGGATAAATTAAGAAAAACGAGCATGGTAAAAACAACTTACCTTCACAATGGAGTAAAGTGAAAGTACTTTTTTCAATTAAATATCATTCGTTTGATTTGATTAGTCTAAAATGAAGTTAATATTGTCATGTTATTCAAATAATGTTTTAATCTACTTAGGAAAATCTTGTTTTTTTTTCGTTTTGTAAAACTTAGACATAATATTGTATCTTATCTGAACAGAAAATGGCTTTGTTTCATCATAGAAAATATAAAAAATATCTTTCAAATGTTACCTGATAATCATAAAAAGCAAAATTAGATCCTTTCATGTGATTAAATTTCGTCCGATTCAACAGGATGATTTCAATCAGGTAATGACTGTACTACATACAAAGCAGTGTTATTTAAAATTACGATAGCTAAGAAAATAATCATTTCTTACATACAAATTATGATGGTTAGTTATAAGTTCCAGCAATGAAACACTGAATATAAAGTTGAACTTAAAGCTATTAATAAATGAATAGTTTCGGGTGTCCAATTGTATCTGCCATTTATATATATTTTAGAGAATCTTGTATTCTGTTTTTTTTTTATTGTCTAAGAGCATCTTTGAAAAGTTCTTTACAGTATTGAGTCTATTGTAGAATTTCACAGTCCAGAAAATACTTAATGCAGTTTCAATAAATATACACAGTATAATCGATTGGTGTTGACAACTTTAGATGTGCTTGACACTAAAAGTGTGAGTACACGCGGTAGCCACAGTGTTTTAAGGGCGTCTATTTTGCTCTTGGCAGGCACACAAATAGTGTAAGTGACATGTTTCTGGTATACCATGAAGTCAATATGAGTTATAAATTTTGTTTTAATTAGGTTTCATTATTTTATTTATAACTTACTTAGTCTACATATTAGAGATATAACGGTTTCAATAATCATCCTATGCAAGCATCGATGACTACACAACAAACCGATAGTGATTATTGATTGTGTTTACTTCATGTAGACAATATTTTCAGATTAGTGTTTGATTATTGTAGAAAGACAAAGAAACAAAAAAACAGTTGCATTGTCTGATATTTTCTGAGTTATGAACTAAATAAATTGTCAGAAAATTTTCTTCTATTTCATTAATAACAAAAACGAAACGATTCTATCAACGAATAATGGTGGACAGTTCATTCACATCAGACCTGTTTTGCGACTAAAACCACACCACATCTGCCAAAGTTGTTTGAAGGTCATGAGTATGGTTAGAAGCAGGTTTAATTCAATGGCTTGTCTACAAAATCTGATATTTGATTAAAAAGTACTTTCTTTATGCTAATAATCATAGATCATTTTCTAAAACAAATCATTTCATCCATACAAATACTAATAACAATAGAATACTTATGATTATAAAAGTGAGAAATAAGACACTCATTGCTACAGTATCTATATTAATAGAAGTATCCGGAGTAAACGAATCTTGGTCACGTTTGTGTCTAATCATTTTCTTCATAGATCATTATACGAACACCTGATTCTCTTAATGATAATATAATGACATTTAAGCCTTTTACACATTTCAATTGTTTAGGAACAGCTAAATCATATACATTTCGATTGTAACCT